ATTCCTGCTTGTCATCAGGTGCAGCACGGAGAAAGAAGGCACTTGTTACTTGTCAGTCTAGAAGAACAATGATTTGGACAAGGACCTACAAAAGGAAGAATTTCATTATCTCACCAGGCCTATCAAAATAATATTCTTACCACTCACCTGACTTGAAATTTTGCTTTTGTTGTGATAGCCTGGCAAACTTGGAAGCAAGTGCAAATGCTTTCTCCTCAAGGTCCATGGACTGGAAAAAATGTAAAGAAATTCAGAGTGAATGTCATGTCCTTAATGAAACTGGATTTTAAGCAAAAACAGTTGTTCTAAAGAATTAAGAAGTATAGTGAGTCTCTCAGAAACTTTGGCCAGATAGTGCTTTTATTGACACCTGATGATCGTTAGAATAGGATTGTTACGGAAGTTTGAAGACAAAGATGACTATGCACAGTAATTTTGGAATGTGCCTGTCATCCCATGAGCTACCTTGTCAAAGTTAGAGGAGGATTAGTTCATAGACCAGAGCAGTGCGCACATTCATAAAATGTAAAATTATATATTATGAACTTAAATCCTTTAGATCCAATTGCTAAAAGAAGGATGTAGAGAATGGGATGGTGAGAAAATCTTTGGTATAAAATATGTCAAGAAAATATTTCAGCAAAAAGGTATAGTATCACAAAGATCAATTAATGATGGTGAGCATCTTTTAAAGCAAAACCTTGATAACGGAGTATTACACCTATACTGATGCTCACGCTATTAGTGTAAGATAAAGTGTAAGCAGTCAATTTTTTTTCAAGTTCCACAGAGATTAAATGTTATCTCATATTTACATTTAATTTTATTTTATTTTACTTAATGTTATATTACTTTAAATGACCTGCACTGGATAACAAGTGGATCACAGCAGGTTCTAAGGAGTACAAACATAACGTATTGCACCAGAACAATATCTTAGCTGCTGACAGTCTTGATACAAAAAGCGGTTTGAGGAATGAGATTAATTCTTCTCTTTTTTCAACTTTTACATTTTTCCTCTGTCAAAATGTTTATAAAAAACACAACACTGTAATGTGGTTCTAAATTAATGGCTGTAAAGGTGTTTGGAACTTGCCTATGCTGTTAATCCTTTGCATTCTTTCTGATAAAAGCATATTTTCAGGAAAAATAATGCTCTTAGCAAGTGCATGGGAGTTTTGTTATTTATCCTAGTACTATGCCTCCATAGCAATCTGTTAAGGCCTAGAAACGTACAATCTATGCACATTCTGTTGATAAGTACACATCTGCTCTTACTACCATGAAGCAGCAGATCTTTGAAATGTTTATAACAATTT